GGGACCGCCCGTAGCTGCTAGTGTAACATTGACATCTTATTCAGAATCTACGCATCCGATTTAGACGAAGTTTTCGTCCAGGTTACAGGTATAAGATCGTTTTTTCTTTTTCTCATATTCTGTACTACCTGATTACTAGATACCAAATAACCTCAAAATACATATTAGGCTCCATTTGCATTAACTAAATTACGTGAATCAGCATAATTAGAGCCTAGAGTGATGTTTCCTCCATGTTGTAAAATTACTGTAGCTCCATTATCCCGTACATCGTACACGTACAATTTCTGGCATGAAGCTATTACAAATACCAGAGATACCGCTTCCAAGTTAATTAGGAACGCTTTCGTAATAGCAAGGGCCAAAGGGCCAAGGCAACAGGCCAAACCGACGCGACAACGAAGGGTCTGACCCTACATTGTACATACATTTATATACAATGTTATAGTAACTACAAAGTTATAGTAAGAGAGGTCGCGACTACTTTTGAGATAGTTGATTATTACCAATGCCTAAGGTATTGTATCCAGAAACTTATCCATCTATCAAAAACAGCTACTATTAAAATGGTCAAGAGAAAAATCTGGAAAATCTTTTCAAGTTTCAGAAATCGCCGCTACGGGGCGTAACTGCAGTCTTGAATCTGAAAATGTGATGTTCCTGTGAATTGAGCATTGTGCCTTCGTTATCGAAGCATTTATAAAAAGTTACGAATCCGTGATTAACATTCATAAAATGTTTCGTACTCACTTCGCGCTTTGTAGCCAGTTTCAGATCACAGAACAATACCTTTGTGCGTTTCAAATTTTAGAGATACAGCTTCAGGTTTAAAAAGAAAATGAACTGGCAGACCCAGAAGAATTTTACGATTCATAATATTCCAAATCGAATCGGTTGTTATGTATGGAATGAAACAATTCTAAAGCGAGGAGCTAACGAGACCGGCAGTTTCTTGATCCATTTTTTGAAGAACAATGATGGATGTTCAGATGTTATATACTAAGTGACATATAAATCCCAACACCCAGTTTAAATGGTTTTATTTTAATAAAAGTTGGTGAATGTATTTATCTTACTGTAAATAACAAGTGAAAAAATTTTCAGCCTTATCCGGTTTTTATACTGCTTTTTTTTAATTCACTAACGCTCTAAAAATGAATATTTCAGCCGCAGTAAAGAATCAACGTTGGCGGATTTTGGTTCTTGACATCCTTTACGATCGATTACGATGCCTAGAGTACGGATAGGGGCCGTATAGTGGGACTTCGGGAAGCTGGACCTTCTTTTCGGGCAATTGCAGTTAGAGTGCAAAGAAGTGTAGACACTGTGGTTAGGTGTTGTCAGGCATGGATTCGAGAAGGCCGTACGCAAAGAGCAAGGAGCACTGGACGCCGCCGTAGAACAACAGACCGTGAAGATCGCCGCCTAAGATTATTGGCCTTAAGGGACCGTTTCTCCACTACCAGGTCCATTGCAAATGAATGGTTTGCAGAACACAGAAGACCTATTGGCATGCGAAGTGTTTACCGACGAAGGAGAAGTTTTGGCTTGTTTTCATACCGGCCACACTGGCTCCTCCCTTTAACTCGAGAACACCGACGTAATCGCCTTGAGTGGTGCAGACAACGGTCACTCTGGGATCAGGAATGGAACAGTATTGTCTTTAGTGACGAGTTTCGATTTTGTTTAAGCATGCACGCTGGTCGTGCCAGGGTTAGAAGGGGACGTGGTGAAAGGAGGAATCCACAGTTTTTTGTTGAAAGACATGTTCATCACACTGTTGGAGTTATGGTTTGGGGTGCTATAGCTTATGATTCCAGGTCACCTTTAATCTTCATCAGAGGTAACATGAACGCGCAGCGTTATATCCACGAAGTTCTAGAACCCCATCTTTTACCCTATCTTGACACCCTGGCAGATCCAACTTTCCAACAAGATAATGCCCGACCACATGTTGCATGAGTCACAATAGACTTCTTTCAACATAATAATATCACATTGTTACCATGGCCACCAAGATCTCCCGACTTATCCCCAATTGAGCACGTATGGGATAGGAGATTGCTCAATATGCAACGTCCTCCGCAGACTCTAGAAGCACTTCGAGAGGAGTTGGTGGTTACCTGGAATGAGATACCATAGGAGGACATTGACCACCTGATCAGAAGCATGCTTAGGCGCGTTGGAGAATGCGTAGCACATCAGGGTGCATCCGCACATGATTAAAGGTCAAAGGGCTTTATTTTTTATTTTTTTATCATTTACTTATTATGCTTCATTAAGTACTTATACAAAATTTTATTAAAATAAAACCATTTAAACTGGGTGTTCGGATTTATATGTCACTTAGTATATTTGATAACTGCTGCGATCAAAATAAAAGTAGATTCATAGCTACAACATACCTCTACGTAGTTAATACCACGGAAAACATAAATACCATTACCCGCAAGTTTTTGATTGCCGGTATCACCCAAAATGAGGGTGACAGTATGCATTCTGCCATTGACAGAGATAAGAATAGAATCTTGCAAAAAAAAAGTGGCACACCTTATGTTGTTAACGAAGTCCAACAAAGTGACATTTATGATGTAAAAACATTAACCAGATAAGTAGGAAAACGATCTTTCAAAAACACCAAACATGAAAAAATTACATGGAATAACATTAAAACATATCATGTAAGAAAAGATTCCCCACAAAGTATATTTTATAAAACAAACTTTGAAGGAAAAACATTTGAGGAAATTTCGATTAACCAGAGAGAAACCTAGTTCTTAAAAATGCTTAAAATGGACCTCTCGGTATAAGTAAAAAGAAAAGCAGTTGATCACAAAATCATGAATTTTATGAAGCACTCCCAATTTCAAAGACTCGTTAGAAACCGAGTAATCATCAGCACATGGACCTCTATGTATTGTATCGTTTATTGCAACGTTATCTACTAGTGCACTGTATTTAATAAATTGTTTTTTTCAAAAATTTTGCATCTTATTTTCATTGAGTAAGCAGTATCATTATGGCAAATTTTGTATCATTACCTCCAGCCACTCCGCTGCAAGACTATCTTAACTTCAAACATTTCATTATCAGTCAGTTATTTATTGAAAATCAAAAACATCTGCTGACACAAGTTCATGCAAGTGAATTATCTGAGTTTAAAATTCAGCATTATTTTAAACACACCAGTACATAATAATAAATAAGCATAAAGCATTTGTGGAACAAAAAAGAAAACAAAATAGAAGAGATCGGAAGCCCGATTAACATTGAGCAAGAGAATTCAAAAAACAAATTGCGGACGAACCGGAGACGACAAAGACACTGCAATCAGGAACAGGGAACATTGTGCTCATAACAAACAAAGACACAGACCAAGATATAACACATGATTCCACTACACAAAAAAGGACGCTTACTAAAACAAACGGTAAAATATGCAATATAGGAACCTGGAATGTAAGAAGCATTGGAGGTAAAGAAAAGGAACCGACTCACGAGTTTAAAAAAGCTAAACTAGATATTTTGGGCATTTGTGCAACAAAGAAGAAAGGTCAAGGAACGATCGAACTTGATGGAGGACACATATTATTGTACAGCGGGGTCCCAGTCGACCAAAGGGCTCGAGAAGGAGTCGGCAGAATATGTTAATTGTCTGAAGAAATGGGACTACGTCTCGGAAGAATTCTAAGGTTAGAAATCCAACTTATTGAAGAAGCCTATACTACCATAATAATTACATACGGTCTTTGTGAAGACGAAGAAAAAACGCAGCAAAAGACGAATACTGGGAAGATTTATCGCAAGTTGTAGAGAATTTCGGAGGAAGACTTCTGATAATAGGGGATATGAACAGCAGAGTAATTAAGAGAGCCTGCGAATCTCTAGAAGTAGTAGGGTTATATGGAGAAGAGCATAGGAATAATAATGGCCGCAGGTCGATAGATTTCTGTATGGAGAACAACAAATACTTTCTACAAACATAAAGACATTCACATGTACACTCGAGAGGTAAAGAGCAGAAACGAAAAATCATCGATTATGTAGTTGTTAACAGACAAGCCAAAAACAAGTCACGAGAAGAATTTGGGAGAAAGATGGAGGAAGACAGACTCGGAAATCAAAAACTATTTTACAAAGCCTTGAAAAGCGATAAGCAGCATAGTTTAAAACAAGTCAAAACAAGCAATAAGAGGATAGTTACAGAACCTACGCCAATTATGGAAAGATGGAAAGGACATTTCACAAATCTGCTAAATAGCAAATACGATGTTGGTACAGAAGATACTGAAGATGTAATATTTGATGACACCACAGACGAAATAAGCATTGAAGAAGCAACTGAAGCTATCAAAAACAGCAATAAAGGAAAATCAGCTGGCCACGACATGATAACAGTAAAAATGCTGAAGGGATTAAGTAATTTCGGAATCCAATGCTTGACAACGATATTCAATTGTTCAAATGTGTTACCGATAAATAAGAGAGGAGATTATAGAGAGTGTGGAAACTATAGAGGAATCACGTTGCTTAGTATCGCAGCGAAGGCCTATGAAAGAATCCTAGAAAAAAGACTAAGAAGTACAGTGGAACCAGATTTGGAGGAAGCACACACATTTAGGAAAGGTAGAAGCGCACAGGATCATGTATTCACGATAACCAAATGATCGAAAAGTCTAGAACGAAGAACACCGAAGCATACACAGCCTTTCTAGATCTGGAAAAGGCATTTGACAGGATAACACTGAAGGGAGTGTGGTACAGTTTGGAAAAAAGAAATATATGCCCTAAACTCACAAGAGGAATCAAAACACTTAATGCGGATAACACCAATTATGTAAAAAAGGAAAACATGGTATCACAACCTTTTTAAAATAAGAGACAGCATACGACAGGAAGGCGTTCTAAGTCCTACACTTTTCACAATTATCGTAGACGACATCATAAAAACAATTAAATATAAACACAAACAAGTGAAAATTGATCATTGCAAACTGGAAATGGTGAGCCTGTCAGAATGTGCATTTACCGATGATCTCATGATCTGTGCCGAACGGGAAAAAGACCTGCAAACTGATCTAGAACTGTGGAACGCCGAATTAGAAATAAGAAATCTGAAAATTAATGTAGCCAAATCGAAAGTAATGGTAATCGGAAAAAATGTCAAGGAAATAAGAATCAAAATTAATACCAATGAACTGGAACAGGAAGCTGAACTAAATGAAATAATTAATAAAGCAGTAAAGACATATCATACAATGAGCAGAGCCTTGCTTAGAAACAAAAAAAATAGTAGGAAATCCAAGATGATTGTTTACAGGACTGTAATATATGTATATAACAAAAATAGGAAAATAATGGACAAACTCCGCAAAAAGTGGATTCGAGCAGAAAATAGGATAGGTAATCCGAGCGATACGTATTTCTGCTGGTTGGCTTCATCAGGCCCGAAACCGTCCGTTTCATGTACAAAATTTATTGGTGGACGTGCCACTGTGTATTTACGGGGACATGTGGTTTCAGCATGATGGCTGCCCAGCGCACTATGCACTCTCGGTGAGATAGTATCTCGATCAAAACTTTCCAGGCAGATGGATAGGGCGGTCTGGTACAATACCGTGGCCAGCCCGATCACCTGATTTGAATCCTTTAGATTTTTTTACTGGGGAACTGTAAAAGAAAAAGTGTATTTCAAGCCGATTCAAAATGTAGCTGAGCTACGGCAAAGACTATTGGAAGCAGCTGAGTTGGTTATTAACCGTGGATTCGCTCGTTTAATAACCCGATCTTTTTTAAGAAGATGTCGAGCGTGTATTGCGGCTGAAGGAAAACAGTTTGAGCATTTGCTGTAAAGGTAAATCATCATCAGCAGCATTTTGACGCCCACTGTTGTGCAAACAGTTATCCTTAGGGTCCTTGTGCGTTTTCATAATCGCTGTTTAATTAGGAAATTTAGAAAAATTTTCATCAGTTTTTTTTTCAAATAAAAATTGTGCATAAGTTAACGAGTAATCTTCTAAGTGTTATACCATTTTGGAATCCTTATTAAGTGCGCCAACTTTCAAGGTTACTTGCCAAACTCTCGTAGTACATTTTTTTTCAGTATAGCCAGTTAAAGTTGAGCAAAGTTTTACTTTGGAATACTTGGTTGGGAAATAAGTGGCAATTTTTCCTGAACGAGAAAAGTTGGCAATAAGGTTGAGACACCAGTTTGAAGATGCATTATTCATCATTACATTGTAAAAATAAAATCCAAAAAAAGTTAATATTTGTAGGGTGTGAAATTTCTATATCTTTTTCAAAGACCTATAATTTTCAAAACACATACATGAAATTTCAGCATAGAGCCTTTACTACCTCCCGCCCTTTACAAGCCCCAAAATCGGTTTTACACCACCGACGAAGATTTTTCGAAAAATGATCAGGCGATTCTAAAAAACCGACAAAAAAATGAAAGTTTGAATAAAGTGAGCGTCCTCTCAAACTATATCATAAATTGAAGGTCATGACCCTCCGCCGTATACACGTATAGGAGGTATACATATTGTACATGCGGAGTTGTTGGAACTGTAGACCCAAAGGAAATTATGAGGGTCTCGTGACCCGAGAGGTGTTATTTCAATTAAACATTCACTGTCCATGACCGTCTACTCGTTAGACCCTTAGCTGCTTTCCAGTACCTTCAGCACAGCTTATCGAATGCTATATGTATACGCAATCCTGGTATGACCTTGAGAGCTAGACACACGCCGCGACAAGCATAGGCAATTGTGAGGCAATTATTTTGAACAGACCGTTCTTCTCGACAGCCTAAATAACAATGAGCTGCATAATAAGGCGGTTTCGCTGGACAGAATGACATCTTCAACCTTATTTTATACTTAAGCGAAGAAAAGATATGCGGTAAACTCAAAATATCGAACCACAACTCGATTGCCTGACGTCAGCGTTTCGGTTTTTAACCAACCAAACCTTCGCTGGTTCGTCAATCCGATATGAAATGGCAGGCCTTTGTTCTCATTGTCAACCTGTCAGTGAATTGTCTATTATCGTGGAGTAAGTGTATTTTAATTTCTCTGTTTATTCGGGTTTCAACGAAAGTATGTATGTTTTATTTTTAAGCTTTTAACCATTTTTCCTCACTGCTCGATGTTTATTGCGTTTATATATTATGTACTTCTAACAGATTCTCCTACCGCTTTTCTTTGTATCAGCTTCAATGATTTTTACCGGCTAGACGAACATTTTTTGTGATAAAAAAGTCGCTGTATATGTATATATTTTTACTGTTAGAGATTGAACACATTACGATTCTTGCGCTGTACCTATAATGTGATTTAACCTGTTAAAATGTTTTGTCATTGTAATGTCCTTATTTATTTTCTGGCATTGTTGCTCAAACGCATATATGACCCTCAAATTGATATTGACAAGTCTTATATCATGTAACATGATCTAATAGGACAATAAACTATCTATCTATGATGTTTGATCAGTTTGACGGAATACAGTTGTCCGTCGAGTTGTTTATAGAAGCTTCTCGTGTACTTTAGACAACAGACAGACTTAGTTTTTTAGAAACAGACAACATGACATTACAACGGAGACAGAATTTGTGGTTTCTTGCTGACGGGGCACCACCACACATTTTTAGAGGCGTCATTCAGTATTTGAATGTACATTATCCAAATCCGTGGATCGATCGAAATGCTCCTGATCCTCTAAAATGGCCAGCAAGATCTCCTGACCTCAATCCGATGGATTTTTGGTATTTGGGAGAACTTAAAGGGATTGTTGGCTCCATAGTGAATGCCGAAAGCTTGATTTTATCGTCAAAAGAGTCAACTTTAGCCTAAAAGTTTTGCCAATTTCCCAACTAACAAGTAATTGTATTTTATATATATATATATATATATATATATATATACAGGTGAAAAATTAAAGCTTCCGCCTTTTGTTGGGTACTTCGAAAAAAATTTTAAGCAAGGAGGACTCTTTATACTTTTTTTATTCTCTCTAGCTTTCACTGGACTTTGCCATCATCATCAGGAGCTGCAATTACATTGATAACAGTAGCAACGATAGTGTAAAATGAATTTAAATTAACTTAACTTACAGTAGTATGTGAGGATGTTGCTAATTGTTGTTTACGTTCAGGATGAGGGAAACACCCAGTAACATGGCGAAAAGTGGATAAATGGTACAACGGTCAAAATTATATAAAATACACACAACTGCGTGACAAGAACAAGTTAGAAACAGATTAAAAATTTTTAGAACATGAAAGCATTACATCGTGAAGCCACTTGATGATTGCACAAAATGGTGGGCGTGGAATAATGAGTAAGATGAACGCTTGACAGATGGCCGAAGGTTATCAGTGTCTGTGTAGAATGATGGAACGAATTCTTTTGTGGGCGTGTGCTACGTTGCCAAATCAGTTCAGATGATGTGATTTTCAAAATGTGTTAGGTAAGAAATTGTCAAACCGACCAGAGGCAGTTGAATTGACGATACTTTATTAATGGGCAATTTTGGGAGATGTGTAACTGCTCCAATTTTTCGCAGTTTAGCAAATATGAGTAAATGACACTAAGTTGCTTAACATCTGTCTTCTTATAGATACAGTTGTTATTCATGAAAATGTCGCGATTCAGCAATATCTATCTGGATGTATGTACAAGAATTATAAATAAACAGTGGGATGAGATAAGTCAACAGTGCAACATATCTCTAGAATCGTTCACCAACATTATAACATTCCTCTTTCATTACAACTATTTCTCTTTCAACAACAAAATATATTCTCAGACACATGGTTGTCCTATGGGATCTGTTCTATCACCAATTTTGCCAGAATATGTCATGGATGATCTGCTTGATACTGTTATTCCGACACTACCCTATAACCTCTTCTTCATAAAAAAATACGTAGATGACATTATTTTATGAGGTCTGGATGGCAATTGTCGGATAATTCAACAGCTATGACCCCTACATCCAATTTACCATTGAAAAAGAAGATGAGAACCTGTCTGTCCCCTTTCTAGACACAAGACCCATCCGCACCAACAACAATAGTTTATTGGTAGACTGGTACCAGAAACCTATAGCTCACCTCCCAGTATTTTGCCAAACTCTAATGATACAAGTAATAGCCTCACAACCCCTAATAACAGAACTGATAGAATTCCCAACAACAACACCAATTCAAACAGTACAACCACAATCCCAAATTCCAGATCTGGCTTTGCTGTCCTGTCCTATATCAAGGAACCGACCCCTAAGCTGATCAGATTGTGCAGTCCTTTGTACTTTCGAATTGCTTGCAAATCCGTCCTCACTATAAACTGCATTTTTTCAAAAATGAAAGACAGAGTCCCGCTGCTTGGCTTAACCAACACAGTCTACTCTATCAATTGCAACAATTGCAACCGAATATACATAGGTCAGACCTCCAGATCTCTTAAAGGAAGTATTACATCACACAAAAGTGATTCTAGGCTTCATCCTGAAAGATGCGCTCTAGCATCTCATGTTAACGCAACAGGGCACTGTATGAACTACACAAGTATCAAAGTGCTCGATAAAGAAAAACACCTATCCAAACGTTTATTCCTGGAAATGTCCCACACTTTCATGAATAACAACTGTATCAATAAAACGACAGATGTTAAACAACTTAGTGTCATTTACTCGTATTTGCTAAACTGCGAAAAATTGGAGCAGTTACACATCTCCCCAAATTTTGACTCTTCACAGCCATAAATGGAATCTGTTTCTTGGTCGATTCCACCAACAAACTTCATTCCATTCAAATTCTAATAATTTTCTTCTCACGATTTAATAATAATTGTTAATTTAATTGCCCGTTAATTAAAATATAGTTAATTCAACAGCCTCTGGTCGGTTTAACAATTTCTTACATAACACATTCTGAAAATCACATCATCTGAAGTGATTTGGCAACGTAGCACACGCCCACAATTCGTTCCATCTTTCTACGCAGACATTGACAACCTTCGGCCATCTGTCAAGGGTTTATCTTACTCATTACGAACGTAAACAACAATTAGCAACATCCTCACATACTACTGTAAGTTAAGTTAATTTAAATTGATTTTACACTATTGTTGCTACTGTTATC